AACCACGGGGACAAACTAACCAAACTACCGCCCTTCCCCTCTCTCTCCCTCAGGAGAGAAACTTCACCGTATGCGGGGCGACACTGTTTGGTTTCCGCAACCACCAGATGCTGCTCCAGTCTGTAGTCTACAACCGCCTCATGGGCGCCGGACACCAGTACGTCTACAACCAGACCATCGGACCCAAAGTGGACGCGCTGTTACGTCACTTCCAGGACCTGGGGCTGGTCACCGTACTGCCCATGCCTTCCTTCCCCGGAGACCGTGCCTGGTATCACGGACAGATCGTGGCCATCACCGACTGCATCTACAGGAACCGCTACACCTCCGAGTTCGTTGCCGTCCAGGATTTGGATGAGTTTCTGCTCCCCCTGAAGCACCGCACGTGGGGTGAGCTCATCACAGCGACGTTAGGGGCGGAGGTCAAGGCTGGGAGGAAACCCCAAGACGTGGCAGGATTCGTCTTTCAGCACTCGTTCTACTGCGTGGGGGAATCTGACGACAACGTTGCTAGGTGGATGGCGCTAAAGAAATCCTTGTCCGTCTCCGACGAGGATGAGAAGTTCATCAAAGACGTGTCTGGTAGCCTGTTTCTGAACTGGATGAGGCAGAAGCTGCTTTCGTATCCTCAGAGAGTCAAGACGATCTACCGACCCGAGTTCGCGCGTGAGCCTGGAATTCACTTCCCTATCAAGCTGTGGTCGGGTAAACGCCACGTAAAGATTAACCCCGCCATGGGCATGTTGGCTCATCACAGAATGCGAGGGAAGTGTACCATCAAGGGGGAGCCCCTGCTCATGCTAAGGCAATACCTGGACGCTTTGAAAAATGCGTCACGTGATTTTCAGGCGTATCTAACCAAGACGCACCAATCGTTCTCCGTCCCGACCCCGCCAGCGCCCGTGAACAGTCCCAAAATGAACAGTCCCAAAATGAACAGTCCCAAAATGAACAGTCCCAAAAAGACTAGTCCCAAAATGAGCAGTCCCGAAATGACCAGCCCCAAAATGAACAGTCCCAAAACGACCAGTTCCAAAATGAACAGTCCCAAAACGACCAGTCCCAAAATGAACAGTCCCAAAATGAACAGTCCCAAAAAGACCAGTCCCAAAATGAGCAGTCCCGAAATGAACAGTCCCAAAACGACCAGTTCCGAAATGACCAGTCCCGAAATGACCAGTCCCAAAATGACCAGTCCGGAAATGACCAGTCACAAAATGACCAGTCCCAAAATGACCAGTCCTAAAAGGACCAGTCCCAAAACGACCAGTTCCGAAATGACCAGTCCCGAAATGACCAGTCCCGAAATGAACAGTCCGGAAATGACCAGTCCCAAAATGACCAGTCCCAAAATGACCAGTCCCAAAATAACCAGTCCTAAAAGGACCAGTCCCAAACACACAAACATCACCACTAGCAGCAGCAGTAGCAGTACCTCGTCTACGTGACGTTCTGTGTTAGACTTGTAGACTGGTAGGTTATACACGACTGGTGCTTTTTTTTGGGATTGATTGATTGATTGATTGATTAATTGACTGGTTGATTGATTGATTGGTTGATTGGTTGGTTGATTGATTGATCGGTTGATTGGTTGATTGATCGATCGAATGATTG